TCGCCGCGAAGAAGACCGACGGCACAGTGGTTACTTGGGGTGATTATCATAACGGTAGAGACTCCAGCAGCGTGAGTGGTCAGTTGACGAATGTGGAGGTGATCTATGCCAGCTGTTGTGCCTTCGCCGCGAAGAAGACCGACGGCACAGTGGTTACTTGGGGTAACACAGTGAGGGGCGGAAACTCCAGCAGTCTGAATGGCCAGTTGACGAATGTGGAGGTTATCTTCGCCACTGAGAGGGCCTTCGCCGCGAAGAAGACGGACGGCACAGTGGTTACTTGGGGTGACACAGGGTACGGTGGAGACTCCAGCAGCGTGAGTGGTCAGTTGACGAATGTGGAGGTGATCTACACCGGGACCTCCACATTGCCCTTCGGAGCTGGAACAGCCTTCGCCGCTAAAAAGCTGGACGGCACGGTGGTGACGTGGGGGAATGCTACTAATGGTGGAGACTCCAGCAGCGTGAGTGGCCAGTTGACCAACGTGGAGGAGATTGTCGGCAATGAATGGGCCTTCGCCGCGAAGAAGCAAGACGGCACCGTGGTGGCGTGGGGTCGGAGTACTCATGGTGGAAACACCGGCACCTTGTTCGAGGCGTCGGCTTCACTTTCAATGCAGCTCTGTGAACCCCCCGAGCCTGGCGACAGATGCAACATGGCAGTACATGCGCAACGGGACATGCTCTGCACATCGTCATGCTCGTAAGGGTATGATGACACCACCATTCTTAGACATGCTACACCTTGTCCATGTAGAACCGATGATGAAGATGAAGATAACAAGCTGGACGGCACCGTGGTGACGTGGGGGAATGCTCATGTGGGGGGGAGACTCCAGCAGGGTGAGTGACCAGTTGACCAGCGTGGAGGCAATTATCGGCAATGGCGCAGCCTTCGCTGCGAAGAAGCAAGACGGCAGTGTGGTGGCGTGGGGTTTTAGTACTCGTGGCGGAGACACCGGCACCTTGTTCGAGGTGCCGCCTTCAGTCTACGTAGCTCGGTGAACCCTCCCGAGATTTCCCGAGCTTCGCGACAGTGCATGCACAAAGGAATATGCTTTGTACATCGTCATGCTTCTAATCTAAGGGTATGATGACAGATGACACCACCATTTCCAGACACACCACACGTTGCTCTCCGCGTTGCAAGGGCCCGCAATGCGGTCCGCCCACCTGAACAGAGGCCGAGCGCGAAGCCCAATCGCCTAAGGGTTGACGAGGAGTGAGAGCACTTCCCGCCGGCAGCTGCTTGTCGTCCTTGTTCTCAAACTCGTGTCCGCAGGCTTCGCAGTCCTCCTTCCTTGAGTGGGTGTGGACCGTCCAGTTTGTCGCCCTGCTAAGAACACTGAGCTCCCAGCCTGCGTAGTCTCTGTCAACTCCGTCGTGCCCATGCCAGATGCAGCCGCTGCCTTGGCTGCTTTCTTGCGTTGGTGCTTTCGATGACGCTTGGCCCGAATGGCCTCGTGCCGTGCTCCCTTATCATCACCATCGCAAAAGACTTGTTGCACCATCGCAACACTGGTTTGAAGAAGTGTCGATCCAGATAGCCAGGAAGGACATGAGGCTGCCGAGTTTCGATCGTGATCTCGGGAGGTTTGCTGGTGTGTTTCCAACACGTAACCTTTCTATTCCCTAACC